CACGGGGGGGGGGACCAGACGTCCCAGCAGGGGGCGCTCTCACGGGAAGGGGGCCGGATGTCCCAGCAGGGGACGCTCACTCCCTCCCCTTGCCCCCAGCGCCTAGAAGGGGAGCGCGAGGCCCTGAAGACGACGACGGAGCTGCTCCAGCTCCGACTGGCCTCGCTCAGCGACGTCCTGGCCCTGCAGGAGCTGGAGCTGAGCAAGAAGGTAACGGCCCCCTGTCTCCTTGGGGTCACGCTCCCCGGCCCCCTGGCCTGGCCAATTTCCCTGGGGGGCGCTGTGCTGTAGCCTGGCGTTGAACCGGTGTATTCCCCCCTCCCAGCCCGGAGACCCCCTGCAGCCCGAGCCAGCCCAGAAGAGCCAGTCCCTGCTGAGCCGCTGGCGAGAGAAGGTCTTTGCCCTCATGGTGCAGCTCAGATCCCAGGAGCTCGGCCACACGGACGCCACCAAAGCGCTGCAGAGACAGGTGAGGGCCTGTTGGAGGCAGGGGTTCGGAGCGCAGGTGGTGCGCATGCATTGGTGCACAGAACAAAATGTAGTCCACACATGGAGGAAAAAAAATAGAGGGAGCATTGCCCCGGCCCCTCACGTGTGAGGTGAAGTGGGACTAGGAGGGAGGTGAGACAGGTGGGGAATTTGGGTCGGGCAGGGCTGCGGAGGCCGGAGAAAGAGGCGGCTTTTCCTCAACTCCAGGGCTGCGCTTGCTGCCCTCCCTGTGACTCCAATATTCATACACGAGCTGCGCGCTGTTACGGGTCGAAGGGGCCGTTATATAGCGCTTCACACCCTCTGGAAGATCGTTAACTGCGCCCCCAGGCCCGGCCACTCTCCAGTGGTCTGGGCACAGAGAAGTTCGGGAAACCGGTAGTTTGGGGGGTTTTTTACAAAGAGGTTCCCGATGGGGCGCGTACCACAGAGCGGGGCGAAACTCCTTGGAAGGACAATGCAGAGCTGCATTTCCTGCACCCCTCAAAGGGCGTGGGGAGCCGGGGGTCCCGGAGGCGCTGAGGGAGAGGGAAGGAGCCTAGGAGAGAATCTGGAGGGTGTGGGGCAGAGGGGGAGTTGTCCCGACCTTTCCCCAGGCTTGGAGTGTGGGGAGGAGTCACTTTCCCCCCCCCCCCCCCCCCCCCCCCCCCCACCCACCCACCA